CCTTCTTTATCTCTTGTTACTTTCTTTGTTTTGAAGTCTATTTTGTCTGATATTAGTACTGCAACCCCTGCTTTCTTCTCACTGTTGTTTGCCTGAAATATGTTTTTCCATCCCTTGACTTTTAGTCTATGCTTATCTTTGGGTTTAAGGTGAGTTTCTTGTAAGCAGCATATAGATGGGTCTTGCTTTTTTATCCATTCTATTACTCTATGTCTTTTGATTGGTGCATTAAGTCCATTTACATTTAGGGTGACTATTGAAAGATATGTACTTATTGCCATTGCAGGCTTTAGATTCGTGGTTACCAAAGGTTCAAGGTTAGCTTCTTTAGTATCTTACTGCCTAACTTAGCTCGCTTATTGAGCTGTTATATACACTGTCTGGAGATTCTTTTCTTCTCTCCCTTCTTATTCCTCCTCCTCCATTCTTCATATGTTGGGTGTTTTGTTCTGTGCTCTTTTTAGGAGTGCTCCCATCTAGCGCAGTCCCTGTAAGATGCCCTGTAGAGGTGGTTTGTGGGAGGCAAATTCCCTCAGCTTTTGCTTGTCTGGGAATTGTTTAATCACTCCATCATATTTAAATGATAATCGTGCTGGATACAGTATCCTTGGTTCAAGGCCCTTCTGTTTCATTGCATTAAATATCTCATGCCATTCTCTTCTGGCCTGTAAGGTTTCTGTCGAGAAGTCTGATGATAGCCTGATGGGTTTTCCTTTATAGGTGACCTTTTTCTCTCTAACTGCCTTTAAAACTCTTTCCTTGTCCTTGATCTTTGCCATTTTCATTATTATGTTTCTTGGTGTTGTCCTCCTTGGGTCCTTTCTGTTGGGAGTTCTGTGTATTTCTGTGGTCTGTTCAATTATTTCCTCCCCCAGTTTGGGGAAGTTTTCAGCAATTATTTCTTCAAAGACACTTTCTATCCCCTTTTCTCTCTCTTCTTCTTCTGGTATCCCTATAATATGGATTTTGTTCCTTTTGGATTGGTCACATAGTTCTCTTAATATTGTTTCATTCCTGGAGATCCTTTTATCTCTCTCTACATCAGCTTCTATGCGTTCCTGTTCTCTGGTTTCTATTCCATCAATGGCCGCTTGCATCTTATCCATTCTGCTTATAAATCATTCCAGAGTTTGTTTCACTTCTGTAATCTCCTTCTTGGCATCTGTGATCTCCCTCTGGACTTCATCCCATTGCTCTTGCATATTTCTCTGCATCTCCATCAGCATGTTTATGATTTTTATTTTGAATTCTTTTTCAGGAAAACTCGTTAGGTCTGTTTCCTTCTCAGGTGTTGTCTCTGTGATCTTGGTTTGCCTGTAATTTTGCCTTTTCATGGTGATAGAAATAGTTTGCAGAGCTGGGATGAGTGATGGCTGGAAGAATTTCCCTTCTTGTTGGTTTGTGGCCTTCCTTTCCTGGGAGAACAGCAACCTCTAGTGGCTTGTGCTGGGCAGCTGTGTGCAGAAAGGGCTTCTGCTTCCTGCCCGGCTGCAATGGAGTTTATCTCTACTGTTGCTGTGGGCATGGCCTGGCTCAGGCTGCTGCTCCAAAATGGTGGAGCTGCATTAGAGGGGGAACGGGAGGCTATTTATCTCCGTGAGGGGCCTCCGTGCTCCCTGCTGCCCAGGGGGTTAGAGTGCCCAGAGATCCCTAGTTTCCCTGCCTCTGGACTAAGTGTCCCGCCCTGTCCCTTTAAGACTTCCAAAAAGCACACACCAAAACAAACAAAAAAAATTAAATTAAATAAGTAATTTTAAAAAAAGCCGCTCTCTTTTCTTTGTCCTCAGGCGCTGGCCTCAAGGACCCGCTCACCGGTCTTGCTGCCCTGTTTCCCTAGTATTGGGGTCCCTGTCCCTTTAAGTCTTCCAAAAAGCACTCGCCAAAGAAAAAAAAAAAAGCCGCTCACTTTTCTTTGTTCTCTGGCGCCACCCTCAGGGACCCGTTCACCTGCCTTGCTGCCCTGTTTCCCTAGTATCCAGGGCCCCACACATGCACTGTGTCTGTGCTCTGGTCTGGATTGCTGGGGTTGGGTGTTCAGCAGTCCTGGGCTCCCTCTCCCTCCCGGCTCTGACTCCTCTCCTCCCACCAGGACCTGGGGGGAGGGGCGCTTGGGTCCCCCCAGGCCGGGGCTTGTATCTTACCCCCTTCGCGAGGTGCTGTGTTCTCGCAGGTGTGGATGTGGTCTGGATGTTGTCCTGTGCCCTCTGGTCTCTATTCTAGGAAGAGTTGTCTTTGTTATATTTTCATAAATATATGTGGTTTTGGGAGGAGATTTCCACTGCTCTACTCACACCGCCATCTTGGCTCCCTGGCAGTGAAATTTTTAAAGCCAAAGTATGAAGACATATAGAGAATCGTTTTGTAATATGATTAATAGGTCTTCTTTAATAGCTTCCTGAAAAGAAACAGGTATACTAGACAATACACCTTTTTTCCCTAGGAATCATGTATCGTTTACAAAAATTGAATATATAGCTGCACTAAAGTGGCATTTAAACAGGGTTCAACTGCTAAAGAGGACTCACAAGACATTATAGTATGTACAGGTTCTTTCAGGAAAAGTGCACAGTATAGCAAAAGTGTGAAAGTCAGAACATACATCACAGCAAGAGTCTGGAGTGGTCAGGTGCAGGCTCATATTCTGGGCTGTCTTATTCTGGTCCTGCAGATCTTCTGCACTTACCTTATATCTTGCCTGTGCCAGCCCTAAAATCAGTCACTTCTTCAAGGAGCCCTGACCCTGTTTATTGGAAAATGGTATCTAGAAACAAAGATCTGAGTGATAAATGTGCTTATTGCTGGTGGGGTGTCACTGCTTCAAGGCCATCTCAGCAGTCAGAGCCAGGAAATGTATCTAAATATACCACCCTATTTATACATACATATCTATATTTCTATATCTGCCAACTAGAGTACAGAATTTATGTACAATTCTTTTTGTTGTTAGCCTTACATTAGCTAGTCAAAACACCATTTTTCTTTTTTTATGGTGGTATAATTGACATATGACATTATATTAGTTTCATGTGTACAACATAATGATTCGATATTAGTATATATTGCAATGTGATCACCACAATGTCTAGTTAACATCCATCACTATACACAGTTACAGAATTTTTTTCCTTGTGATAAGAACTTTTAAGATCTACTCTGTTAGCAACTTTCAAATACACAATACAGTATTACTAACTAGATCACCATGCTGTACATTACATCCCCATGACTTATTTACAACTATGACTCCATCCTCACATCATTCCAACTCTTGCTTCTATCCTCATGTCTCCTACTTTTTGTACCTTTTGACTCCCTTCACCCATTTCACCCACCCCCAGCCCCTTACCTCTGGCAACCATCAATCTGTTCTGTTATCTATGAGCTTAAAAACACTGTTCTTCAAAGTTTAGCAACTTTTTCCCTGACTCTCTTCAGTGAAGTTATGTCATACATTTTTAATACAATTAGACCTTTTTATCACATTCTGCATTCCATCCTGGATCATTGACAACCAGGTTGATTTTTTAAATTTTGTGTAAAGTAAAGTTCTTTCTTGTGGGTTTTGACAATTGTAGTGTCATATATCCACAAGCACACTTGTGTAGCCCATTAAGTACTCAACCCTTCCCTCTCCTTCAAGCCCTGGTAACCACTGATCTACTTTCTGTCCTGTGATAGACCAAATAATGACCTGAAAGATAACCATGTCCTAATCCCCCCAACTGAATGTTACATCATATGGCAAAAAGGACTTTGTAGATGTGATAAAGGTTAAAAATTTTGTGGTGGGGAGATGATCCTGGGTTATTTGGGTGAGTTCTAAGTGTGATCACAAGTGTCCTTACAAGACAGAAGCAAGAAAGTCAGAGGAGGTAGTAGGAGACATGAAGATAGAAGCAAGAGTTGGAATGATGTGAGGATGGAGTCACAGGGTAAGGAATACAAGCAGCCTCCAGAAGCTAGAAAAGTCATGAAAATGAACTTTGTCTAGAGTCTCCAGAAGGAACCAGCCCTACAACATCTTGACTTTGGCCTAGTGAAACTGATTTCGGACTTCTGGCTTCCAGAACTGTAAGACAATGAATTTGTGTTGTAAGCCACCAAGCTGTGGTAATTTTTTTATAGCAGCTATAGGAAACTAAGTTTTGCCCCTGAGTTTTGCCTTTTTCAGAATGTCACATGAATAGAATCATACAAGACTTTGGGGTCTTTGGAGTCTGGCTTCTTTTACTCGGCAAAATGCATTTAAGATTCATCTATGTTTATGTTTTGTATATTTTACCACTAAAAAACCCAATTCATTTACATTGTTCAGTGAATCAACAGATCTTTCCTTCTTATCACTGATTACTATTTCATTGTATGAATATACCAGTTTATCCACCCACCTGTTGCAGGACATCTGGTTGTTTCCAGTTTTTGATTAACAAAGCTGCTATAAACATTTGCATACAAGTTATTGTATGCAGTTTCAGTAATTTAGAGTTATCACGTTTGCCTGAAAAATTATTGTGTGCACACAAATTTTCTATTTACTTGGCTATTAAAGAAAACTCTTGGGTATTCACAGCTTAAAGGACATGGAGATGTCAATTTAAATATTACCAGGGAAACACATTATTAAGCAATACAAACAAAAAGAATTTACAGGCTTTTTAAGGTCAAGCTTATATTCACAAAACATGCTCTAAGTTCTGAGTTCCAGGTGTCTTACAAGACCCCTTTGTTAGAAATAACATTTTCAAGGGCATTTTACGAAAACAGAAAATCATCTTATTCTGTTGCTGGAATTTCTTATACCAGCAGTAAGGAGGGTCTGTGGTTTTCCGGACCAAATGCTCAAATTCCATTACTGAGAACTAAAAGAGATGAAGACTGGTCTAAGATTAAAACTTACTATGGAAAGGAAAGGGGCAAAATAGAATTATAAACTGGAATATGAGCATGAAATGTTGTCCATCTACAGTGTGAATAGGAAAAACTTACAATGAATATTTGAATTTCTGATTTATTATATTGGCAATCCATTCACCTCTAGTCCTTAGTACTGTTTGCTATGAAACTTTGTCAAATGGTTTCATGAAGTCTTTGGAACTTTTGTTTTTTCCAACAGATGTGCAGCAATACCTCTGCCAGTGGACTTTTGCCTGAACAAAGAAAAAAATAAGTCAGTCAAACATACAGATGGCAAAAATTTTCCCTAAGGGACCAAAACTGCAGAGGAATAATTCCAAATTACACCTCTCAATGCAAAATCAAGTACAAGTCACATACTATCCAAAAGGCTTGTAAAACTAACTTCAAATCATTTAACAAATATTTGTTGTAGGTTCTCCACGTCCCCAAGTCCCACAGGGGCCATGTGGAGGGGCCCAGGTGGACACACTATGTAAAGTAGCTGAGAAATACTTGCCTTAGGTAATTCACATCTTTTATAGCAAGCCTGCTCTTTGTCCTAGGAGATATCAACTCATCACTCAAGGTAGCTCCCTGCAAATTCAGCCCTGAGAAATGACCCCAGTAAAGAGGGGTCAGGGCCTTGCATAAAAGAAGAACAAATAGGGAAGGTTCCAGACTGTGACAGATTGCATTTCCCAACAATATTATATGCCTAGAGAGAAAATCTGCCATCCACATGAAGCAGACAATAAGATGTACTACCCAAAGGTTTGTCCCTAGGAATATTCACCATCGGCTTTCAGGAGCTAGAATGCAGCTGCCATCCACAACAAACTGTGCATAAACGAGGCCAGTACTTTTTCTTTGTTAACCAGTCATAGGGAACTCTCTGGGAAGCCATAACTGTAGGATAAGGGAGCATTAAATCAATAGAAGCAAGTTCCATGGGCTCAATTGTATATATAGTGTGATCATTTCCTAGTGAAATACTGTTGTCACATCCAATTTTATGTTTTCATGAATCAGATAACACCTAGTTCCTGATGGTCATTTCAAGTGGCATACCTCACTACCCTTTCATCTTCCAGAGTTGCCCATACTTTCCATTAAGTGAACTTACCCAAAAACTAGAGCACAAGCAAACCTGTTGATATAGTCCCTTCACAGGGCACAGAGCAGGTAGAGAGGGTGGAGTGAAGTTGGAAGGACAAATGTAAGATATCCAACACAGTCCATAAATGGCATTGATATCAGTGTGATTCTCTAAAACAGTAAACCATTCTTGGTAAAGTTCCAAACAGAACAATATACACTCCTTTCAATTTACACAGTAGTTCCATTCCTGGAAAATTCCAGGATATTAAAACTGCAAAAACTGCTTTGATTTTTCCTCACTTCATTAGCAACATACTAAAATTGGAATTATACAGAGAAAGTAAGTATGGCTCTTGCACTAGAATGACATACAAATTTGTGAAAGCATTCCATATCTTAAACAGTAAGTATTAGAAAAAAGTACTTTGAATTTACATGCAAAATTAGGTTAGGTTTGGGCTCAGATAATTACAAATAGGTTTTTCATATACATGAATTCTAGGGGGACATTGGAAAATTATATAAGATGTAGGAAAATTCATCCTTGTAAAGAAAGTCACATGCATTGAAGGACATTAAGACATTATTGGCTCCTGCCCACTAACTGCCAGGAGATCCCTGGCCAAGGAATTCCTGTCAAACACTCTAACAACCAAAATAACCCCATATGTTTTCAAAGCATACCTCCGATTGGTACTGCTCCCAGTGAAGCCCACTCACAAGGTGAAACATTCATTGGTGCAGAATTTGAGTTTGATACTTCACCCACTTATTGTCTGGATGCACACTGAATGGAAGAAATGACTTCTCAATTTATAGGTCCTTGTTCAATTCAACATACATAAGTCTCTGACCCAGTTACCAAACACTTGCTGCCATTTTTGGCAATGTACAATTATAAATTTGAATTTTCTGATTTAGTATAAATATAAGAAAATAACTGGATGTAAAGCTCAAGCTTCACATGGAGGCAGATAAAATTGTAAATAACCCATTTCATGTCACTTGATATTAAACTCCAACATTTTCTACTTTTAACTAATACATTTAAATACATACATACATATTATATAAAATTACAAAATATGGACACACACAAAAAAGTAAAAACATCACCTTCTGTGGTAGACAGAATAACAGCCACCCTCAAAGATATCCTCGACCTAATCCCTAGAACCTTTTACGTGGCAAAAGTGACTTTGCAGATGTGACTATCTTAAGGATCTTGAGATGGGGAGGTTATTCTGGATTATGCAGGTGGGCCCAATGTAATCACAAGGGTCCTTATAAAAGGGAAGCAGGAGAATCAGAAGGCAGATAAGGTGATGAGATGAGAGAAGCAGATATTTGAGTGATGCAGCTAGATTCGAGGAATGCCAGCAGCCTCCAGAAGCCTTCTGGAAGAGGCAAAGAATGGATTCTACCCTAGAGCCTCCAAAATGAACCAGTCCTGCAGACACCTTGAATTTAGTCCCATAAGATTCATTTCAGACTTCTGACCTCCAAAAGTGTAAGAGGATAAATTTGTGTTGTTTTAAGCCACTAAATTCATGGTAATTTGTTACAGCAACAATAGGAAATTCATGAACATGTCCCCCTCCTGCAGAGGTCCACCATTGTTAACACCTTAGTACCCGTACTTCCAGATCTTTTCCTATGTGTGTATTTTTTGCATGCTTTTTATAACCTACTTTTCAATGAACTCCACTGTCCAGTTCAACAAATATCTAGACTATATTAGAAATTACCCAAATGACACAAAAATGCCTATAATAGTGGTTTGGTGCAAATCAGGATCTGTTCAAGGACCACATATAATAGCACTTGATTATTAGGTCCCTTTTTAAATGATGCTGACAATTGAAGAGATGATCCTACAGTTGTTCTGAAGAATGTGCCACCTTCTGGGTTTGTTAAGTTGTTACCTCTTGGTGCTGTTTAGTTTGTTCTCCTATCTCCTGCATTGACTGGAACATTTTTATTATTTGGCTAGAATATTCTAAAGGGAATGGTTATTCATGCTGAATCAATCTGAAGAAATATAATATGTGGTTAGCCCTTTAATGATGCTAAGAATTGATTACTGGATTAAAGTGATGACTGTCTAATCCCATTTTTTAGTTATATTTTTTTGCCTGAAACTAGGAGGTGACCATTATTACTTTTTAATTTTAAAAATATCCAATTCCCATCAACCTTGTTAACAGCAGTTGATGATCAGTATGATAATGATAATCGTGGTAATTTCATTAAAGTTTGTGATGTTTTTCAAAACCTATCATCTCTTCTATAGTTACTAATTAGCATTCATCTGTGAAGTAGAGCTTTCCCTCATCTACTGGGGATATCTGGTTACCTGAAATACAGATTCTACTGAAAAGGCAAGATAAAAAGTTTAATTCTTTACCATTAATTATCAATTTGCATAGTAAGTAGTTGATTTAATAGCTGCCTCAAATGGTGACAAATAAAATTTTTCAGATTTTTCTCTATTTTGAACATCATTATTAAATAATGACTTTTCATAGATTCCATCTATTTCCACTCACTGCCACCATTAGTCTTTATAATGCTGTAAATATCAAGACTGTGGCTAGTGGAATATTATCCCATTGATTTTTGAGAACTTTACTGATTTCTAGCACAACAAAATAAACCTGGGTTTCCTTGTACTTTCTCTGCCCCAGCCCTGGAATAAGCTATTTATCCAAAGGCCCAGCTTCCCTTTAATGAGGAATGGTTTTCAGAGACCACAACATGAGGACTAGGGGTGTTCATTATTGCTTGGGTGACACTACTTTTAGGCCATTTCAATGGACAGAGCTAGAAAAAAATACATACTGTGGCAGACAGGCTCTAGGGTGGCCCCATGATTTCTGCCTCCTGGTGTTCATGCCCCTGTGTGCTCTCTTCCTAAACCTGGGGAGAACCATGACTTGCTTCTGCTCAGCAGCGTACAGTGACAGGATGCACATGATTACATATATGATTATAGTATGTATGACTAAGGCCAGTCTTGAAGGAGACTATTTCCCTTGCTGGCTTTAAAGAAGCCAGCTGCTGTGCTATGAGCTGCCAATGGAGAGGGCCACTTGGCAAGGAACTGAGACCCTCTGTCCAGCAGCCTTCAAGGAATGAAAAGCTGCCAACAACTATGTGAGCTTGGGAAGCAGATGTGATGATAGCCCTGGCCAACACCTAGACTGAAGCTCTGTTAGTCCCTGAAGCAGAGCATCTAACTAAGCCATGCCCAAACTCCTGGGCCACAGAAGTGTGAGATAAATGTGTCTGTTAAGCCTCTAAGTTTGTGGTAATATTGTTATGTAGCAATAGACAACTAATACACTATTTAATCATGGGTTTATATGAATATTTTAAATTCAATTTTAATAGTAGTGTTTTCCTCAATTTCTTGGATTTTATCCTAGTATCTTTACAAATAATGGAACCTCTGGTCCTATCCCCTGGAGGACCATACATTAAATTGTGAATAAAAAACTAAAACTGAAAAATCTCCTGTTCTTTCTGTTTTTCCTTTCTTCCTCTCTTTGAAGGGGAACATTTATTCATTTATATTTTTTCTCTTACAGCCTTGCTCATTTAAGTAAACTAAGTCTATGAAAACACTTCATAATTTTAGCCTTAAGATTCTTTTAAATTATTATTACAAATTATAATAGTATAGTATTTCATGGTTTAAAAATAATTTTTTCATGTGTAAGTTTCTCTAATAAATATTAGAATAGCATTCAATTAACAGAATTTTAATTTAGGAAATATTATCATAGAAATAATTTGCTTCTCATTAACAATGCTTATTTCCCCAAATAAGGCACACTTCTGCTTTTTAAATATTTTTTAAAAACAGTGAAATATGTAGCTTGATTCTTCATAATTTTAATAAACACATGATATAGAAATTCCAAGCCCAAGCTCAGGACAACCATGAACAAAGATGTCCCTAATGTAAACCAACAACTTCTTTTCTGAATATTTAGTAAAAATATTAAATTTTTTAAATTACACAAATAAATTTAGATTTCTATTATTTCTGCTCAAAAATTAAATGTCAAATGCCCACTTGAAAAGATACTATTAATACAGGTAAAAGAAGAAAATAATCAGATTCATTTTGAATATTTGTCTATTACTTTCAGGTTCAGCACAAGATATTATAGAACAAATAATTCAGCCTGACAAAATAACATTTCCCAAAAGTACTATTTTCAGTAACAATTTCTCTATTGAATGAGACTTGACAGTAAATATCATGAAATCTCACAATCACCTTGTACATGGGTCAATAAACATTACTGTAATATATTTTATAGAAAGTAACAGGGTTGGCCTTATGGAAGCTTGAAGAACAAGGGGTAAGTTCTCCTGACCAAAAATACCATACCCAGTAAAAAAGAGATTAAGTTACTGAAGTCAAAGACTTTTCTGGCATGTTCACATGTTCCTTAAAACTCTATTCTATGTCATGAAACTCTTGTCTGGATTAATTATGCATTGAAGAGTCTGCTGGAACCTTGAGAAAACGGTCTGGGTTCTATTTCTCTCTTTGTCCCCAGGTCTAGTATAGAACCTGGTATATTCAATTCAATTAACATTAAGTAAATGAATGTTGGAGGAAAGAAGGTAGGAGTCCAAAAGATCCAGTGTGATAGCCTTAAGTAGCTTTAAGTTACTCTGAAATATATTTAAATATCTTAAGAGGAATAAACAAACACAAAGCAATGAAGGACTTAAGGAAGTTAGCTAAACCTTAGGGAAAGCTGCATATTTCTATGAATGGATGAAAGAAATAGGTATTAATAGACTATAAATCCAGAAATGTGGATTATGTGGATAGTGGGTATAACCCCTACTCTGAAATTTTGGAATCCATGTCATTTTGTCTGTAAGAAGAGGATTACTCTAGCTGCAGAGATCATGAGAAACTGGAGATCTACAACCCAGATTGCACAACCAGCCCATCTCTGTGCAAAAAGCAACCTCAGTCAAAAAGACAGCTATTGTCTCTGAGTGCTTTGGGCTCAATAGGGACAATAATGCCCTCTAGGGAGCATTTTAGAAGTTTGTGGGTACTTTTTTGGCACATTGGAGCGAAACTGCAAAACATCAGTGATAAAGGGAATCTTAAAAGCCACAAGAGAAAAAAGGCCCTGCCACTAAGAAATGAAAATTAGATTATCAGCAAACTCTGCATCAGCCAATAGCTGATGCCAGAAGACAGTGGAATGGTATTTTCAGTGTTAAGAAAAAGGGAAATTACTAGCAACATTGAATTTTATACCTAGGTAAATTACCATTCCAGAGTAAAGGCAAAATAGAGACATTCACAAATAGAGAAGTAGTTTATCACTCACAGACTCTCACTAAAAGAAATACTATGGATGTACTGATTTCTGATGTCAGGTAAAATGGAGTAAGCCCACTATAGTTTATCTCTCCAACTTACAACAACTACAATCTTCCAGGGAAAAAAACCCGAAAAGCAACTACCTGAGAACTCTGAAAAGTAAGCAAAAGCAAGTGTATTGGGAAGGGAACTCAAAATAGAAGAAGTGGCTCATACCAGGGTGACTTACCCACTTTTATTAATCTTTCTTTCACCACATTGAAAGGAAAAGTCTCCAGCAGAGCTGATGTAGGCAGAATGAGAAACACTCCAAGGAACCCTACATTTCTGGTCAGAGGACTGATAAAATGCACCCCTGACAGCTTCAAAGTATGAAAGGAATTATAAAGAGAGGAAGCTGGAAAAGGGGATCCTTTAATTCT